TTTTTTCTGGATTGTACCCATGATAATTAGAAAGATTACTAAATTACCTACAAAACAAAAAAAAATCGGACAATTATTAACAAAGATACAGTCCATTAGTTTTGATAAACTTCATAATGTCTTCCTGTTTAAAGATATTGCATTTAGGAGTAGAAAAGTCTACTACACTTTTTTTCCTGGCTGATATATTAATTTTATGATTTCTTAAAGACATTTGATTGTTCTTACATTTTATTTTTTTAAATAATTTAGAAAATCCCATTATCGCGCAATTATTTTCCCTTTATTAATTTTTTTATCTTTCCAGTCAGTGTTTAAAAATAGATCTTAGCAAAGCAATTTGTACAAATATTTTGGTCTATTATGTTTAATGGAATATTGTAATCGACCAAGGAAAAAATATTAATTCCTTCCTTACATAATACATACGAACTACTTATTTCCATATTATTTTTGCTATATTTACAGTAAATTTTCTGCGAATTATTCGCACGGGTCAACTAGTATATTCATATTTAGGAAAAGGATTTGTTTATATCTCAATAGATTACAATGATTAATTACGAAAATAATAAACCAAATCATGTTTATACTCTATGATAGGCTCTATCTTCCCTATCCCAGCCTGATTTTTTTTTTTTTACTTTTTCGTTAGAGAATCTAGGAACTTTTTAAATTACGCTTTTTTGTTTTTTCTGAAGGTTGTGCTTATTTTTCGACACTAGCAATGAAAGTGACCCTCAATAAGAAATAGTGTACCAAATAAAAAAAAATAAAAAAAATGCGAAATAATATATAAAGAAACAGCGATAATGCTCTGGTTTCCATGGAAACTAGTTCACTTTTTTTATAATTTATCTTCGACAATATCGCAATTGCCAATTAAAATGATAAATAAATTGTCAATAGAGCTAATCTAAAAAAAAAATTAAATAAAAACAAACATAAAAGGCTTAATCGGATTAACTTTAGAGACGATACAGCAAAATATTATTTTATCAGAATTTTCACCCAAACCATTTAGAAGGTCATATGAGTCAATACACCAGACATTGTTCTTCCTTTTGCTGCTTGCAATTAATTTAAGAGTGGGGGGATTAGTGTCTATTTCATAGTTTATTTATTTCAGAATGTTTAAAATCTAAGAATAAACCAGTCACTATTGAAACATTTTTATAATTGTTGTTTATATTTATTCCTACTTTATTTAAAAGTCTTTATCAGTTAGAAAAGATGGGGAATAGCCCACCTTGTCCCCTTTTGGAAACACCCATGTTTTAAATAAACTTATTTACATTTTTTGATTCAACAACCTGTCTGAAGTGGTTTGAGTTCAAGCACTTTTGAGGTGAAGCGCCCTGTTCGTTCAAAGGTGTCTCATTCCTACTTCTTATCATCGTTCGAAATTGAAATTTGTTCTTGGTATGGGATGTCTCGAGTGACGTATTAAAATTCTTATGGGTGATTGGAGACATACCTAATACAAAAATGAAAAATTTTGTGCTGATTGTGTTTAACGGTCTTATAAAGTCAAATATTACGGGATAGGAAAAGGAAATTTAAGGTCTAATGTAGATAAACTTTTATTTGCTATTATAACAGTAATAAATTAATAACAATTTATAATAAAGATAGATATTAAGGAAAGTGTGAAGTTTTAAAATAATAAAATTGTTGATTGTTCAGCTTGCAAACATACTGTAACCAATACACATCTCTAGATTTTAAATGTGTTTTAAGGCCATATTTGCCGATGGATTTCGGAGTTAATCGTCTAATATCAGTGTATGAATCGTAATATTTTTATTTATTTTTTTATTGAAAGTAAGCATTAAAATTTAATTGTTATCAGAAGTTCGCACTTCCTCAGTCATTGCTGTGAATTTTCACCTACCCAAACTCAGTGTGTCAAAGTTTAGTTGCTGTTTATGAAATAGGCTGTCGCCAGTAGCATTGCATTTTGTCCTTCTTCTATAGAAGTTTTAATCGCTCCCTATTACTAATCTATTACTCGAAATGATGAAGGGTAACGTCTTTTCTTGTTTTAGGCTGTAGAGTTGTTTCAGCGCTTTTCATGTTTTCTTATATTCCCTCCAACCACTTTTTTAATATCGCCATCGTTGGGAGTCAATTATTGCATCCGCCTTTTCCATTATTTGAATAACCAGAAAATCTGGTTTAATTTTTAGCCAGTCCGTGATTTCAATAGATGGATGTTCCTTTATAGCTCTGGAGCCTGGGCCCAAAAACGACCTAATCGTAGGCGAAGGTTTGAATTTTTTATTTTTTTTTATTTTACTGAAATTTACAACTGTATTACATATAAAATACATCAAGTAAATGTGACATTGGTAACATGACATGTACAACATGAAGAGAAACTACCCATTGGTAGAACTCAATGGTTTGAATTTAAATAATGAAAGTTTATGTTATTAAAAGTAAAATGCTTAATTGCATCACAGTTGGTCTTTTATTAAAGCTGATAATAAAATATCAGAGAATAATAAAATATGAACAAATATTAAAAAATGATTGGCTTAGGCAATAAAAAAACACCAGTAAAGTCAATTGTTTTAACAAAAAAAATTCCCAAGTTGAAAATAACGCGTCGTTTGTAATTAAACGGTCAACAATAACACAAAACGTACTGGAATAAAATATCTGGAGAATATATTCCTCTTTCTAAAACACTGATTACTATTTGAAGCAGTTCCGTAGAAAATGCACATAAGCGGCAGAAAAGCGGTACTGGCCTAGGTGCCTTCAGGCCTCTACCACATCACTCAGTACTCATAAATGGCTTAGTTATAGTGCTATAATAACGTTTTTGGTACATTATATTGATTTTATTAACGAACAAATATTAATGCAATCATTAAATTGTCAAAAAAATTAAACTTTTTTAAAAATATAACTTCCTTTTTTCTATTTCTATTCTTCTATCCTATTAGTTGTTTAAGAAGACCTCTATTGTAAAAATGATATAATTATAATAATAAAACTTAATAATAATAATAATAACTCAAAAATACTTTTTTTTTAAGTGAAAATTTTTTATTTTTTTAACTTGTATATATGGGTTTAGAAAAAATAAAAATAAAATTACTAACGCTGGCTACTGAGGAAAAACTTTTTACAGCCAAAAAAGATTTTTTTCATTATCTTTTCACCTATAGCTTCTAAGCCATGCATCGAAACAAACAATGTACTCTTTAAAAAATTACCGACCGTTAAATTGTAAAACCTTCGCCTGCGATCAGGTTGGTTTTTGGGCCCTTACTCCAGGGCTATTATTAGAAAGGAAAGAATGCGGGTTGTAACGATAGTAAGGTTTCGATCCATCGGTAAATTTATAATATTTGGCCATATTTTGATAAATTACTTGTGCCAAGTTATCATGCCTTTCAAGGTATTCTCTTCCTAATGATATCTTGCTGTCATAGCAATTCGACTGATTTCGGAGGAAGTAATTAAGAGAAATGGCAATGTGTTACTTGTGACCGACTCTCTTCCAGTACTGAGAAAACGGGGATGACGAAATGTGCAGTGAAAGTGAAGAAATGCAGTATCTTACACACCAACCAACTTTACTATAATTAGCGCTTCAATAAGTTCCAGACTACTGTGGAATATAGGAAAATTGGAAAAGACCGGCAAACTTACGAAGAATGAATCACAGATGGACCAGCATCGCCAATCTGTAAATTTTTAATCTTCAAAAAGGTTTTACAAAAATATAGTAACAGACCACTTGAGGCATGAGTATTCCGAGGTGGTTGAAAGAAAGAGATGGGCTGTTATTCAGTAACATAAGAGAGACTCCATTGAGAACAAGCGATTGCCTGCTCACAAGCTAGAATGGATTACGATTATCTTCAGAGGAACCTACATCGGATAGGGATCGGATATTCTCTTTTGTAACAATTGAGAGATGGTTAGAGAAGCTCTATAGGAAAACGTCTTGACGCATATCTATCACTAGAAGGAAGAGATGGGCAAATGCTACTCTGAGTACCGCGTACCAAGTATTTTATTCAAATTGAATCACTATTGGGAATTCAATTACTTCTTCAGTATATTTATTATATACTATTCAGTCAATCCTTTCACACCAACTGAAACAATAATTAAATTATTTGGTACTCTAAAGGTCAGTATTTAAATAAAATACTTGGTACTCAGTACTCGGAGTAGCATTTGCCCATCTCTGCTAGAAGGCAGAAGATTCCTTATTAAAAATGACGAAATCATTGACGCTAAGTTAGGGAAAATATAGTGTGGCTGCAAAAAAAACGGATGACTCAGTAAGTACAACATTTTATGTTATTTTTTTAATAAGCTACAAAAATGAATTGGAACAAGAAAAGGCCACTTTTTATAGAATTATCAAAGTTGGTTTCAAAACATCTACTCAAGAGTTCGGTCATTAACGATCTACAGCTGCTTTAATTCATGAGCGAAATCTGGTTTGTTTTGCAATCACCGAAATTTAAGTTATTCAATCTATCCTACAATAACTAAAATTTTCCAAACAAAAAAGTCAGGCAACTAAAAATTTAATTACATTTGATATTGATATATATTGACTTTACTTTCAGAAAGAATCTCATTTATTTTTATCATTTACATCTAATTTTAGAAAATTAGTTAATAAAATAATGCTAGTGAATGATTGTTCTAATGCCAATCATTTCTTTGCCAATTTTGACAACCGTACAAGAACGATTACCAATCTTAAGATGTCGTTGGCTCATCGCTAAATAAATTTATGTTCAATGTGTCACCCATGTCGTAATCTCATAGATACGTCTTATTTAATGTTTCAAATGTTTTTGTTAGACGTTTATTTGTGATGCAATTTTTTATTTATTTATTCTGCTAAAGTACCCAAACTTCGTTTCCTGAGTTTGAAAGAAAAGTTTTAGAAAAGTGTCTACTGCTGCTTCTCGGCGGCAAAACATGGAACTAGATCTGATCAATGGTAGTGGGGAGAAGGTGTCAAAAAAGTACAAAAGTGTTTCAAGATCATCTCTGGGTAGTTGTGGATGTGCTCTGGTGCTCGAGAAGGATATTTTGTCGTTATTGGAAATAAAGTATAAGGAAATGTGAGTGTGATCATTATACTTGCTTTTCATTAGGCATATCCCATTATACAATTGTGTTCCCCTGTTGTATGTTGTCTAGTTTTCAATTTATTCTATAAATGTATCACAGATTTTATATAATTGTTCTTTTAGATGGAGTGGTTAGGATCCTCAATAGATACATTTTACAGCCTCTCAAGCTGGTACCTTGGAAGTGCTATGACTTCTTGCTACATCCTGTATTATTTATTTGAAGTAGTGAAGGTATCAGTTGCTCTAATTGTATTCATTATCTGGCTTCTTTTTTATTAAGTATAACACCATTTTTTTTTCAATTTAGAAACCCATCTTAGCTACAAATCCAAAAGGAAAATTTTCCGAGTTCATTGAAAAAAACATGCCACTTTTAAAAGAAAAATTTTGGCCCACTTTGTGGTGTATAGAATCGAGAGCTCAAACTATTATTGCTGCATTGGTTCGAGTATCATTCATTCCAGTTATATCATACAAGAGGTATTGTGACTTAATGCTAATTACTTTTATCTTAATTTTATTACTGATTAGTTTTAAGTTGGAGTTATTAAAATTTCAGAGAAATCCTGAAGTTAAAAGATGGAGGAGAAGTTTGCTTAGATTCTCTAGAACCAAAAGAAGGATCGTCTTCCAATGCTCCAACAATTATAGTTTTACCTGGTATGTTCGATTGACTAAATCATTATTTTCCTATTTTTCTTGAAAATATAATTTCCATTAGATTCAATTAAAAATAATAATAATGATCATCCAATTTAAATTTAATGGTTTTGGTTGTTTGAGCTACATGTTATAACACATTTGTTTCTACTTATTAAAATATGCAAACTTTTACAATTAGTGTTTTTCTTGTGTATCATAGTCATTTTTATATTTAGGTTTAACTGGGAGTAGCAACTCAGATTATATCAAAGGATTAGCTTTGACAGCCTCAGATCTTGGAATTAGATTAGTTGTCTTCAATCAAAGAGGAATAGGAATTCGCATTACGGTGTGTAGCATTTTATGATTTTTTTTTTATATAAGTGACCTCTTGTATGATTCCATAATCTTTTGGCCATGGATAATTTCTTCTTTTATTTATTAAGCTTTTCATTTATGATTTACAATTAATTTTTACTCACCCTCTAATGTGAATAAGGATCTATCAAATCAGTTGTTACCTAGCAGTAGTTGTAGACCTAGTAGAACAATTCATACTTCATTTCCTATTTAAAGTAAACCAGGATGTAAAACCTAATAATTAAACGGTGATATATAAAAAAATTAATCAAATGAAATTTCAGACATACAACATAAAAGATTTTATCTATGCCACTTTCTCTTTGTTTATAGTGAATTTTATTCTTTTTATCAATGAACATTAAACTGTTGAATAATATTTATTTACAATCTGCAGACTCCTCGTACTTATTGTGCTTCTAACTGTGAAGATCTAGTTGAAGTTATTGATCATGTAAAATCAAAATATGAGGGTTCTATACTAGGCGCTGTAGGCATTTCTATGGGTGGGTAAGTAATAATTTGTATTTATTTTTATTTCATTATTTCCTTTGATTTGAACATCCTAAACACAATTCCTATGTTTTCAATGTCAGTTCAATTATTTAAATCTTAGCAGCAAACCTCAAGTTTGTCTAACTTATATCATGATTCATTGTTTCAACAAAAAATTTTTTTAAATTTATACTACTAAATGGATTATTATTTTGTGGATCAAGTTTGATTTCTGGTTATTGATATTGATTTATTTTCTGCACTTTCAACCATCGACTCTAGGCTAAACAACGAGTAGCTGATACTTCAGTGTGTAGGAGAGAAAACTTAACAGTTAGATATTGACATCGCTGCCTTGTATGAATTATTATTTCAATATTCAGCACTTGCTAACAATTACTATATAACTGTAATAGATTATTTCAACCATTCCCTCTAAAAAAAATGCAAGAACACAGGAATACAGATTACATTTCAAAAAGACGAAATTATAAAATCAGTATCAGTACTTTTTATATGTTATTACTATTTTACATTATTAACATCGTCCAACAACAAAAAATAGCTGGATTGATTAATAATTGAGAAAATTACTAAAGACGGTTTTAAAATTTACTGAACAAGGCAGATAGACAGACTAAAACTTAAATATGAGCTTTAATCATGTTCTCTGGTTCTGTGGCATCTGAAATAAAAGTGTATAGCGAATAGAGATATTACATCTGGTCTAGGTTTTGTCTAAACGTTTCTACAAAAACCACAATAGCTTTTTTCCAAGTTACTCTCTCAATAGATATCTTTAATTTGAGAAATTTTGGTTAAGAAACTATTAGTTTAGGTTTCATTTAAAATTGTCATTACTTTCTATGGATTAAGAAACTATCCGTCAGTTCCTTTATTAATTGCATGAGATTAATTATGTTGACTATGAGATAGACTACATAATAAAAAAAAATTTGCCTCTAATAAGTTTTGAAAAAATTAACATAATTTAACAAACTACAACTATTTGCTGCTCATCACAGATCATTTTGAAAGCCAGATACTAGATACCCCACATTTGGACCTCTCGCTATATGATTTCATTAAATATTAGAATTCATGTTTCTGTTTAAAATTTAACAATTATTTATTTATACTTTTAAAGGTTGATTCTTGGTAACTACCTTTCATCACCAGAAGGAACTAAAACACCGCTTTCTTGTGCAATGATAATATCTGTCCCATGGAATGTTCACATTGGCACTCAAAGTATAGAGACACCAGTCGTAAACATGCTTCTCAATAGGCACTTAGCTAGCGGTCTCTGCAACATAGTTCGAAGGTACTAATTTTCCTATTATAATTTAATATATTCTAAAAATATGTTTGTAACAAATCTGAACTTTTTAATTGGCTGTCATTATTATATTAGATATTTTAAGGCCATAGTGTTTTTTTTTTTATTAATGAAAAATAAATTAAAACAGTAAATGAAAAACATCATAACAAGTATGGCTTAACAGAAAACTGAAAATATTAGTGTGACCTTGGCTTTCAAAAATATTTGTTTATCTCTTTTTCTTAAGCATGTGAAGTAAATATTGTGTCTTCTGTTGTGGTGGTGGTTTTTAATATTTTCAATTATAAAGTAATAAATAGCCATAGTATGTAATCTCATTAAATAAACTTTTTTTAAAATTTGTTTGCATTGTCTATTTATTCACTTTTAAAAGCCTGTGAAAAAATAAATGATACATGATTGGTATATTTTTTTCATTTTAACATGTTTATTGCCAACTTATGAGATAACTAATAGTAAAAGTTCTTGCCTAGGATGCCGTATTTTTGCATCTATAATCATATGAATTATGCTTTTTGTTGATTTCTTTGGATTCGAATTAGAATTTGAATAATATAACACAATTAAATTAAGTTGGCTTTTTAGACCTAGCTCTTGAAAGATACTGCAGCAGTTAATGTATTAACTGATCCATGCATAAAGTAGACTATAGACTTGATTTACTTTGTTTTGTTATATTTTCATTATTAATTTATGTTTTATATTAATGTTGCCAAATTTATGAATCTTAATTTAAATATGAGGTGTTCCTTAACGTTAGTTGTTTTCAAAACCCTAATAAAATCAATAGAAGAAAATACTGATTTTTAAATTGTTAACTATAATTTTTTCGATAAAATTCATAATTAAGTCTAATAAATTATTATCAGGAGCAGCACTGATTATTTTATTTTTTGAAAGATAAATTACTTTCTTTTAAACAAAAATATAAAGAAATTTCATGATTACAATATGGTATGATTATATTTATATTTTTCCTAACCAGTAGTAAATTTAATTTTAATTTTCTCTTACGCTTTAGCATGCGGTCTGTTCTGGATACTGGAAAATATGCCATTGATGATATTCTTAAGGTAATAATTGGCTTTCCTCTTTTATTTTATTATTAAAACCTCATTTAACAGCTTATTATTTGTATTAATAACTGATTTAAAGCTTAGAGAACCCAAAGGTTTGATGCCGATATCAAAGACCAATCGATGTGAAAATTTTCCACCAGGCGCCGTCTAAACCCAATCTCGTCAGATCAGTCTTAACACAATCTTTCCACCTTTACTTTGGTCTTGCCAGTCAGCACAGTACATATTAACTTTTTAGGAATTCTATCTTTACTGAGGACAGCGATTTTACATGCCCATTTTATTGGCCTCAACTTAATCATTTCAATTATATTAACCGGGTACAGTTTGCAGATGCCGCATAATTTAACGCCTACATTCTCCGGTTGACTTATCCCTCTTCATTCTAAATATTCTGTACAACACTTTATTTTCAAAAAAACTTTTGCTCATTCTTAAATTTTAGTGGCCACGTTTTGTATCTATAAAGAACTGTAGGAAGGATAATGGTTTTTTAAATTTAAATTTTTAATTTTCGGGACAGGATACACGAGCTAAGTAGCTTTGACAAAGATAAATAACAAGCATTTTCTGCTTTCAACCTATGTAATACCTATAATTTCTTTTTTTCAAGTTATTATAGACCATAGATACCAAAAATTCTCTAAGTGTTAAAACACATTCCCTTCTATATCGATATCACAGAAATTGTTGCTGTTTTTGCAGTTAACCATATATTTTGTCTTATCTGTATTTATTTCAAGCCCCAGTTCTTTGCCGGCTTTCATCAATGTGGTTGTATTTAGTTTTATTGTTTTCGCTTAACGGTAAAAAATCATAAGCATGGATATTGTTTCACCCAGATTCGAACGTTTTTCGGTATGTATCACCTCTCTAATGGCAGGTTCTAATGCCAAATTAAATAGGACAGGTAAAAGGAAATCACCTTGTTTTAACCTCAAATTTCTCAGATAAATAATAACTGATTCTAACTTTATTGAATGTTCCGAATTTACACATCCTAACTAGATTCACTATTTTTTTTAGCATTCCCTGCTCAATTGGAATATTATACAGCTTCCGGCAGTTAGTGGAATCATAAGCCTTTTTGAAATTAAAAAAAAAAAAATGGTGAACAATGCGGTTGTACTCTAATTTTTTCTCCAATATTTGCCGTAATGAAAATATTTGATCAATAGTCGAAACGGTTCTCAAGCATTATTTTTGTTTGAAAACTTTAACTTCCACTCTTGGTTACAGTATAAATAAGACTAAACTCATATTAACATAAAGATAGATACATTCAAACATACTTACATATAAAATATAATTAATACACTTACCCTATCATAAGTAGTTCAGAAAATCAGAGTAGCATTCATAAATCTATTAATATGCAACCACTGCTAAGATCAATAAAAATCAGAAATAAAACGGATTTGAGAAAGTGGAATAAAATTAATAAATAGCACCTGCTAAGGTATAACCTTTGTAATATTCTTTTTTCATATTATGTTTTCAGAGTAAAACTATCAGAGAATTTGATAGTAAATACACAGCAAGGGCATTTGGATATAAGGATGTTACTGATTACTACAATCATGCTACGATCCATGACAAAATACATAAAGTTACCATACCCGTGCTGTGTCTAAGTTCTGCTGATGATCCTTTCCAACCAATTGAAGGTATGGTACATTGTATTCTTTAGGAGTATGTTTTGGTAAAATTTTGAAGAATAATAATAAATGAAAGTAATAAAAAATATGTATATTATGAACCTTCATATTCTCAAATATATATATCAAACAAAATTTTGTTGTTAGACTTCACTTAAAAAAAAAAAACATAAAAGTATTTTACAGGTTTTGATTGATTTATTTAAAAATTGTATTGCTTTAAAATCATTTATTAAGTTCCAAGAGATGGCAAATATACCAACAATTTTTTTAGTCCAAGCCAGACTAGGCAGTATGAAGATTTTTATTTTATTTTTTCAAACATTTTTTATTTTACGATTATTCTTTCTCTATAAACAGAATTTCAAATATTTAAGAATACTCATTTATTTATTTTACAAGTAGAAATAATGAAACATTTATTCTGTTCTTTTATTAAATATAATTTATATGTGTATCTTTCAAATACCAATAATATTTGGGAGCTATATATTAATAAATTGTATTTATTGTGTCATGCAACCTGAATTAAACATTATCTAAGAAATATCATATTTTGAGTATTGCTTTGATCTATGTATTTGATATATTTATATTTTTTCTATTCAAGTAGTATTTATACTTCAAAACAATATTTTTTACTTTATTTCTTGATTTGTTGGCTGTTTAACAAATAATACAAAACTCATCAATTATTTTCCTTTCCTAACTTTATTTCTTAATTAATAAAATAATAAATCAAATGTGTCCACTGAAGATTTATGCCATAATAAAATTTAGTTAAATAAATAGTTTCACAAGTTAGTTTTAATGATTTTAGGTATCCCAATGGATGACGCTTACAAAATGGATAATCTCTGTATTGTAGTGACATCAAGAGGTGGACATATTGGCTTTATGGAAGGACTTTGTCCCATAAACAAAGAACAATATATGTTCAGGATTTTTGGTGAATATTTCAAAACCATGCTTTTAGAAGATGGAGTAAAACACTTTCAGAAGGAAAGTGAAGTTTTGACATAAAAGTAATACTTAATTATGCTTGTTGGCTCTCTCTTTTTTTTCTCTTCCAATTGCTATTAAGAAAGAAATTATATTTTTAGGGGAACGCATGGTTTTATTTTGTTGATTTGCCTCATAAATTTTTCATTTATAATTTATTTTTAAAACCTTAGTATTAAACATGAATTATCAGGTTTTAATATTTCTATCCCTTTACTGTGAAAGTCTAACATCGGTTATTTATGTCTTTGCTCCCAGTATTGACGTTTTGAAACAGCCGATATTCTCCTTTATTTAGTTTTGGAAAAATTTCGATGGGAATAGTTGACTCCTATTTATCTGATTCTGCTGAAATTGACATGATTCTGTATAGTAAAAAGAACTTACTATTCAGAAAAAAATACATTCATATTAGCAATAAAATTTTTTTGAGGGGAAGCTAAGAAATAAGGTACCATTTGCTCATGAAAGTTATTTAATACAAAATCTTACATTCTTGATTTCGTTTACTTTTGCATGTATTAGAATGTACAATATACATTATTCTCTTAAAACATTATGTATGAATACATATTAGTCTGAAGAAGGTAGAAAACCACAAATGAAAACTAGGAGAAATGAGAAAATGAAATAGTAAGAAATTATTTCATTATCACAATTCATAGTTTTATAGATTTATGTATTTAAAATTTAAACAAAAATGGTGAGGAAATTCTTTAATTACTATAAATTCCTGAGACCAGAAAAAAACACTTTAATTTAATTAAAGGATTTTATGATCATTTTGTTTAAATATATTCTCGAATCTGATCTTTTATAGTTAGTTAGTAGGTTATTAAAAAATAGAAAATCTGTAACTTCAGTAATAACTGTAAAGTTTCCATAAAAATGTTTAAAAATATGTTTACTTTTTAATAAAGGTGTTCCAAACATTTTACATGCTTGGAAACAGACTTGGCAGGTCTGTAAGTTGTAATATTTGATGAATCTGTTAATGATAATGAGTTTTGCGATTTCTACATGGCAGGAAGATTGTAATTTGGAGTAAAAAATTGTTAATCTTTGTGAGATAAGTTATAGTTTCCTTATGATATTTGAAAATGAATGCTATAAAACTTCCAATCCTATTATATATCGTCTCAAAGTACTTGAGATGATTAACCTATAGGATAATTCATTTGAGTAACGTTGGATGACAATTGTGCTAATTAATTGAACTTCCAAGAGAGTTTACTGTAAAAAATTTTACAAAATTATCCTAAAAGAAAGATAAAATACCTAAAACTTATTTTTAAACTCTATTAAAGTTTCTTAATTTATGTGATAAAACCAATTAAATTAAAATAGAAATAGGTCATTTACTTTTTTTTTTTTAACATGGATCTATACCATTCAGAGATGATTATAGTTCAATGTATTTTATATTTATAGCGGTTTTTACCTTAAGTAGGAATCGTAATTAAAATGAATATAGAGTATCAATATGTTAATATACCTACTTTTAATAAATAAAAATATATAATTACAATTGCTTAATTCTATTTCATAAAAAAAAAAACTATTCGCTACCACATAGGTTATATTGCACTCAAGTATCAGAACTTGATTGAAAGTCCCCATTTTTCATTTTACCTAAAACTAAACAATGATAAAACATATTATTCTCTAAAAAAAATTTTGAATTGTATTTGTAAAAATATTCATTTAGAACTTCAAATGAAATGAAAATATTTCAAAATCATTACTATACCTAGTCGCACTGGAGTAATCTAGCTGAGAGAAAAAAAAAACACTGTCAAGAAATTAAAAGTAACTGTCAAGCAATCATTTAAATCTGACATTCTTCCAGCTTGTAGTTCACTTAAAAAACTTATCTATCTGAAATAATAATGACAATTTTCTTGCTGGATTGTGATTTATAAATTGCACATTTGCCTTTGAGTTATTTAAGTTTAAATGACTCATTAAAAGGCCATATTAGTGAGATTAATATTAATTAGAAATTTACATTATCTTGTCTATGGTCTTCAAAGCTTTGTGTTAGTTTTATAAGTAAAAATGTAGTGTATAGCTAAGGTAATGGTCTGTGATTTACTGTTTATTTAGGATTTTTTACACATTTTATTTATTTTCTTATATTTATTTATAAATCGTTCAAAATAAATACTCCATTTGAATTTTTAAGTGCTTCCATATAGTACAATAGTGCCAACAAACATATATTTATGTATATACTTTTTAGTTATTATGTTGAATTCCTATTACATCAAATTGAAAAAGAAATAATTTTCTATCAAATACCAATTAAGTGGAGTAAAAAGTAAAATGTCAATCAAAATATTAACTAATATATATTATATTTATTTTTCCATGTTGAATTAATAATTTATATTTATTTATGAATTTGATAATTTGTTAATATCTCAATTTTTAAATTTATTTTTAATGTTATATATTATTATTATTTTGGATAATAATAAGAATGGTTTGCAAAGTAAGTAATATTCCTGTACCATGATAAGAATCTAGGATAAATGTTCAAAAACATGAGAATTTTTCAGAATATATATTAATTCCATCCTTATTATTGCTGAAAAATTAAAATGAATTGTAAATAAAAAGTCTTTATTAATTCACCTACTGGAAGTGCTTTATAAAGTTGTGATAATTAAATATTTTTAACTTTGTATGATTTATCGATTGTTATTTGTTAATCAGAACTAATTAGGCCAATTAATTATCTTTTTGTTATTAAAAATATATTTTATTGATCATATCATGCCTTTTTTTATCCTTATTTCCAATACTTTCTAGTCATCAATTTGGATATTTTGTGATAAAACAATCCATTAATATCTTATATACCTAATACTGAGTCTAAGCTTATTTACACAATCTCTCCAAGAACATTTGAAAGAACTTAAGACAATTAATTTTGTTGTTTTTTAATTTTTAATTAGATGTATCTTTGAACTCTTATAAATGAGAAAAAATTATATGACGCCTGCATTTCTAGAATTTATATAACCTTCGCATAATATTTTTAAAAAAGTTAAACACACTGTTTCACAAATTATAATTAAAATCTCTTGATTTATACCTTCTTATACTGTTGAGTTTGGCGTAAAAAAAAAAAAAAAAAATAATCTTATCTAGGAGGAAAGAAAATAGGTAATGAATGGAGAAGAATGAGCAACTTAAAGCTTTTAGATATATATCGAGAACCCGATGTTGTTCAAGTTCCTATGAACAGGAAGGCTACATTGGGCTGGCCATGTGGCCCCTATGGGAGATAAAGAGATGCTGAAGAAGCATGACAGCTCACATAAACAGAACAGCTCTTCGAAAGACGATGGAGAGGAAGGGCAAAGCTTTGATGAACAGATGTTGTGGCAAAGGATGCTCGAACTACATTCCGCATTAGGGACTGGAAGGTGGCTGCCAGAAACAGAGACATTTAGAGGAAGCTGGTTAAGGAGACCAGGAATCATCAGTTGTAGTTTCCAACTAATAATAATATAATCTTATAATGGGCAAAATTGTATTAGGTATTATAGCAATATAATGCCTGTGGAATGTGGTAGGCAGTGAAAATTTAGTAAGATAATTTATTTTTATTATTTGAATTAATATGACAGGCAAAATTCCTACTGCTGCTTATTCAATTTGATGAAATTTTTCCAGGATTGTGGTGACAGATACCTAGATGATCCAATATCGATTTTACCGAAGTTCCTCTACTAACTTCGCTTGTTTGCGTTTTATCTTTACAAAACTATACTTCCAAAAACTGCTTCCCATTAAGATTTTATTTTCTAACTACAAATTATAGACCTCGGAATATATACTATTGTGTTGATAATTTAAGTTATCGGCCTATATGTCTATGTCTTAAAAGGTAGAATCAACATTTAAATGATTTATTAGCTGTTCTAACAGATTCTATTCGTCATGAGCCACTTCAAACTTTATTTCATATTATACAATGTATTGCTGAATCAAAACTTAATAAAACATTTCTTCTCTTAGACTCTACAAAATGAATCCCAGGATAGTTGATATGCAAACTATGATTATTCCAATTGTGGCTCCACTACGAGGCAAGTAGTGCCTTCAACATAAATTAAAGTCTTCCCACTCTGGCTAGATTAAGTTTAAGAACCTGGAGATATCTAAACAGTCCTTCTTCTAATTGGAGTCAGAGGGTAGGGTGGCCGAGCAGGCTAACGCGTGTGTACAGCACCGCCGCGTTGCTAGGCAACCTGATAACCAAAGATTCGGATAGTAAAGTAATTACGAGTTCAAATCCCAGTGCCCGGTGGAACTTTTAACTCGGTATAATTCCACCGCTCTCTCCCCGGGCCTGGGAAAACCCCGTGTAGGCTCAAAGTTCCTTTTAAGGTCTTCTTTTCACCAGAATTGAAAATAAAAATCGACTTGAATTTTTTTACAACACATCTTACAGCTCAAACATTACAGTTTAGAATCTTCGAAGTGAGTTATATATAATGATGATGTAAGGACCTCAGTGAACTATACACTTAACGCGTTATAAATTGCACATATTGCATTGCATAGAACCTCAAGCATGTTCTGGTTTGGTATTTATTTTAACAAGTGAACAGAATTAGTTGTTTTGCAGGGCAAGTCCTTAATTAAGATCAGAGCTACATGGAATAAAAAGAAGAACATTTCCAAGTGCCATTTGTCTCCTACATTGGAAAAAAATGTCTTGCTGTAGATTTAAAATACATGGCTTCACACAACTCAGTACAGTGCCTATAAGAGTGTGGTATATTCCTGAAGTAGCCTTTGAAAAATATATATCTTAGTATGAATATGATTGGGTTCTAATTAAGCTCCGTGTGTGGTACTAGAACTTCCATTCCCTAAAACATTTGAAACGTTGGAAACAACTGTTACTGAAGAGTCCAACAACAATATAACGGAAGAATTGGTTCATAACCTTCTAGAGAACAACGGAACGCCATTGGTTGTTTTAATGTGAGTTAAAGGCAGATTTACTAAAGGATCAAACATAACGTGGATTACCTGTGCGGGCAGACAGACCGCAGTTCACCCGGGGTAGTCGGACAGAACGCGAAGAAGTTGAGGTGAAATAGTATGAAAACTCGCTATCAAGAATGTATAATATATTGTGAAATTTTTCGCCAAAATGACGATTAAATCTTTTTAGACTAATGAACAGAATGGGAAACCATATACTATATATAAAAATATATAAATATTTTGGTTATTTTTAATTTTATACTTCTTTGGAATTTGTAGATATTTATCACCATAAGTTTTTGATATAATTTCATTTGTCTTTTGAAATACCATATATATTGTGATTATCCTTAAACCCACGCAAAAAGTTTCATTAAGTTTAGGAAGTGTTTTATAGTTGTAGCTTACAATCGATACTCAACTCTTAATAATACATTCTATCGACATCAAGCAGTCTCAGCGATTGTCGGCACTTGTTAAGTTTATGTCAAGTTTTTCTAATTGATCACTCAAATAATGTCAACTTTAGGCGTTCCGTTATCGGTTGGAGGCACAAGACAATCAGGAGCTCCAGTCAGAACCCAAAATGGTATTTTTTCAACTTAATATGTCATTTTTGTTATTGAATTTGTCCTGGTTTAAGGTTAGTCAAGCCCCATGTGGTTTTTATTTTTCTTCTCTTTCGGAAAGTACTTGGAGATTTCAGTATTTTTATGCACATTCGTGCAGTTATCCATTTAAATTTTGATAAATCATAGGATTATTATATTGTAATTATTGTATTTATGATGTATGTTGCTCTTTTATGTTTACCTTTCCCATTGATTTTGAATTGAAACAGAAGCTTTGTTTTAAATTGTTTAAGCTGTTCTTAAGGAATCTGAGCTTGAAACTGTTATCAGTGATAATCTGTATACAAGTATTTTCGTTTGTATTCCTTTAATTTAGCTTGCATTTCTTGATCACTCTTGGACTACTTTTTAGCATAATGATTAGTACTGTATTAGATTACAGTTTTTGTATTATATATATACATACACATATATACTCTAATCACTTTACTTCTTTTCCTCCAAAATTAGTGTTAACAAAACTTTTCTGTTAAACTACCACTAATGGATAGTAAATGCAGTTAAAAATATAGGCAACAGAATGTGTAACAATAGGTCAGAATATCTATTTTATATCCATCATACTTTAATGATGGTTCTTAGCTAAATTGAATTTTGAATAGCATAGCCTATATTGCTGTAGGTGTAGGCTGGGAGCCAGCATCACCTGACTCAACTTTTTGTTGTTTGCAAAAGTTATTAGTGATTTTTGTTTATTTGGGTGTTTTAACACAAAATAAAATCAGTTTTTTGTTTCTCTATGCCATGAAGGAACAGAAGTCAATTGCCACATAAAGCTTTCAATATAATTAAAATTTCTTTATTGCCACCAATAAGAATTATATCATAGGTTTATTTCAAGAATATTTGAAGATTTATTAATCATTCATCGAATTCTCCATCTGAGAAATCAAAATATAATATTAGCAATTTTTGACTTTTAACACTGTTTATGTTTATTATTACATTTTATGAGTGGTAGCATAAATAAATATGTTTGAAATTTGCTAATATGAACTTCAAAATTTTGCTCCATGAAACACTTATAATTGTAAGGTTTTACAATAAATATATAATATTCTTGGGTAATGAGTTTAATGTTAACAATGAGTTGAAAAAATTCCCTTATGGGTGTAATTATTTTCCATTTATTCTTAAATTTGATTTATGGAAGAATAAGTTAATTGTATATATTATTAATAAATTTTACTTTGTGTGTAACTTTGATTTATTTATTTGTAGTTATGGCGGCATGCTCCATTGCAAATATTGTCAAAAGCTCCTTGGGTCCACTCGGATTAGACAAAATGCTGGTTGATGATATTGGGGTAAACATCTTTTAATATTTTTAATGCTGTGATATTTATTTAATTTTTTACTTTTTCCATTGTATTTTTAATGTAGAAAAATATCGCTCAAGCTATTAAATTGTATTATGTTATAAGGATGTCACCGTTACTAATGATGGAGCTACAATTCTACGACTGCTTGAGGTAGATCATCCTGCTGCAAGGGTTCTTGTCGATCTAGCTCAGCTTCAAGATGAGGAGATTGGTGATGGGACAACTTCTGTGGTATGTTTATTACTGATTAATTCAATTTATATGTTTTAGACGATATTTATTTGTATAATGTATTATATGGCATGTTGTGTTTTTGGAAAATTGTACATTATCAAAACTTAGTTATGTTTACACTGGTATTAATAAAATAAATTTCTGTTGAAGGTCATCATTGCAGCTGAACTTTTGAGGAATGCAGATGAATTGGTCAAACAGAATATTCATCCAACTTCTATCATCAGTGGTTACAGACTTGCTTGCAAGTAAGTTTTATATTTTATATTTTGCAAGTATAACCAACCTATTCTTACCAGAGTGAGAAAGTTGAAGTAAATTCCTTGGGTCCAAATAGTAAAAATTTCTAGCTATATCTATTTAAGCTATTATTAGCGTTTACTTTGAATGAAAAAAACTTATCCACCCCTTAATTCAATTCAAGAGCTTTGGCCAGCCTTATCTCATCTAGACCTTCTTTTAAAACAATTCTTCACTCTTCATTAGGACAAAGACAGAGAGCTCTTATCTTTTTTCAACGTTTAAAGACCCTGTACAAGTCCTTATTATTTCTTTTGTTTAATTATTAAGACTGATGTAATAGAAATTATCCTGTGTATTTGGATTCTTAGTTATTTTTCCTCTTTTCTTATAAATCTTGTTTTATGTAAATAGAAAAAAAATTTTTTTCATGTTAGTTTATCAATATTTGAAAATAATTTATATATTGTTATACCATATAAATAATATAATATTATACATGTCATCGTTACTATGTTAAAGTAACAAATGTAAAACGTTAAACAGGCCTATATCCGTTACTTTAACATGGTGCCAACGTGGTGATATAATTTTGTCTGTTAATAAATTCTTTGCCTTGTTGAATCAGTAATGACCAACATTATTTTTTTATTATTTTTGGAGCATTCACAAGTCTGTCAGATTAATTTAAAAGAGGGTTTAATCTAAGGAAAATGGGGTAGCTCAGTGAGTTAGGTACTTACTGTGTTCCAGGTCCCAATTTCAAATCTGGTTGTGGCAGGTAATTATTTATTCTTTTATATCAGCTGTGGATCCACCCTGAGGCACACCCAACTTCTGTAAATTGGGCACTCTTAAATAAGTAAATAATTGAGTGGGATATACCTGGTGATTGAGTGTGGTCTCAATAAAATCAATACCTTAAATAACCGTTAACTAACAATCAGTATGTTGTTACAAAGTACTGAACCCAAGACACTCCATGGGTTACAGAGGTACCCATTCAACTTATTATTTTTGAAATAAAAGTTAATTATAACATCCAATCTATTACATTTTTTTGGATTCTTGTAAAATGGAACTTACATTTAATGTATCTACAGATATTCTTTTATTTTGTATTTTTAGTCAGTAGTATAGTCTTTTATTTTTACAGGGAAGCTCAGAAGTATATTCAAGAACATCTGTGCGTCAGTGTTGAAGAATTGGGAAAAGATTCTATCATAAATATTGCAAAAACTTCCTTGTCCAGCAAAGTTATTGGAATGTATCCTTTGACTTTTGAATTATTGTTATTTAATTATTTTATTTATTTATTTTGATTATTAGTGATTTTTTTTTTTTTTTATCAATATAAAAAAAATTTTTCCTTGACTTCACCGTTACCAGTGATGATGACTTCTTTGCAACCATGGTAGTCGAAGCTGCACAGGCTGTAAAAGTTAGTGATAGCAAAGGAAAAGCTACCTATCCTATTAAAGCTATAAACATTTTGAAAGCCCACGGCGGATCAGCTAAAGAAAGCATTTTGGTTAATGGATATGCCCTTAATTGCATGGTTGCATCAATGGGTAATATTTTATATTCACCATATCTTCATATTATCTTGATTTCATTAGTTTATTATTTGTTTAACCAATTTTACTCCCATTATTAAAGTCAACAAATCATTAAAATTGATCATTTAAAACTAATTATTTTAAATAGATATATTATTATTATTATTATTATATTAAACTTGTACTTACATTTAATTCTGGCGTAATTGAATTCTCACTTGTGTAACGTCTGATACGGCAGATATGCCTTATGTCCAGCTCAATTTGTAGCGCCTTAAATCATATGGTCTATAAAAATTACGTTCCTGCTTTGTTACTGTAAAAAGTAGTGAAATTAAAATTTGTACGAACACTCTGCTATTTGAATTAGTACACAAATTTTACTGTTGTATTATTTTGAAATTTCGAATTTAATTAATAACGATAAAGTTGTAGTAAATATTGTTAAATGAAATTAAAACTTCTTTATAAATTTTGTTTAAGTACAATATTTATTTACAGGAATGACTAAGCGAGTAGAAAATGCTAAAGTTGCTTGTCTCGATTTCTCTTTACAAAAAACGAAAATGAAATTAGGTGTAGAAGTAAGTACCGTGCTTTTCCATATAATTTTTTTCAATTTGTTTGATGTAATCAATATAATTTTGTTTGTAAACCAAGGTTTTAGTAGAAGACCCTAATCAGTTAGAAGCGATTAGAGATAGGGAAGCTGATATTACAAAAGACAGAATTCAAAAAATTCTTAGCGTTGGAACCAATGTAGTTCTTTTGAGTGGGGGCATTGATGACATTTATATGAAAGTAAGATATACACCTTTAAACTAAAAACTTCATTGCTTTTACATTTTTTTTTTATTTTATTTTTATAAGAATAACCTTTTATTGAATTTAGTATTTCATCGAAGCAAATGCTATGGTGGTAAGGAGGGTTAAAAAAGCTGACTTAAAACGAATCGCTAAAGCAACTGGTGCCTCTTTTGCAACATCCCTAACTAATATGGAAGGTATATACTTTTAGTTTATATATTTCATTACTTAACATAGTGTTTATTTTAAACTAATTTAATACATATCAATGTCTTAATGTTTTTAATTATTAGATTTTTAATTTTTAGGTGAAGAATCATTTGATGCTAGCTTATTAGGAGAGGCCGCTGAAGTGTCTCAAGAAAGAATTTGTGATGATGAGCTTATCCTTGTTAAAGGGTAAATACTTTTCCTTGTGTTACTATATTTTCAATCATGGTTATTATTCAATTTCAATGAGGTATTTTTTCTTAATCAAAGAACTGTAATATTAAGTGATCACCTATAGCAGCATAGTACAAATGCAAGTAGAATTTGTTTTAGTTAATATCATTTTAAATGGTTAAACTGCGCTTTAAAAAAATTCCTAAGATTGGTTTTAACAAATAAATTATACTTCTATTTGTAGAATTTTTAACAAATTTAAAAGAGGGTCATGGTCTATACAAAATTTTTTATTGATGAGGAGGTGTGGCCTTCTGCCGTGTAATCCTGATGTACCCTGTACAGTGTAATTGTCCTATACATGATATTAAATATTTATACGTTACCTGAAGGGAATCATTTCGATACTGAATTCTAAAATCATTATCTTATGCTATATTCTATTCTATATAACTTTTGTCAGGTTATTAAGTCTAAATTTTATTGACTAATTTCAGGAGTGTCACTGATAATGCTTAAATATTTTTATACCTCCATCTTTAGCATAAGTTATGTTTGAAAAAAAAAATTATAATAGCCCGCCAATATATGATGGTTAATACTGTTGATAACAATTGTTTTGCCAAGTAATTGATTAATTATGACTTATTAAATAACTAATGTTAGTATTAAACGTGTAAGATTTCTTTAATAATAACAAATCATTATACTCTTTATGATTTGTAAATCAAAGAAAAGTGATACCATAAAAGCAAATTTTATTTTATTCATTATTCATATAATTGTTTTTTGCTGTTCTGTTACAGTCCAAAAGCACACTCAGCTGCCTCCATAATCCTCCGTGGACCTAATGATTATTTCTGTGATGAAATGGAAAGATCAATTCATGACTCATTGTGTGCAGTAAAACGGGTTCTCGAAAGTAAAACAGTTGTGGCTGGTGGTGGAGCTGTTGAAGCTGCTTTATCAATCTATTTGGAAAACTTTGCCACATCTTTAGTTAGTAGAACATTATTATGACGTGATCATTTTAATTTATTTAATGGTATTAAGTGTTTAAGTTTTATTTATTATTTCTAGAGTTCAAGAGAACAGTTGGCAATCGCTGAGTACGCTAAATCACTATTGGTAATTCCCAAAATACTTGCGGTCAATGCAGCTCTTGATTCGACTGATTTAGTTGCTAAATTGAGAGCCTACCACAACACCAGCCAGACGAAAAAAGATCATGCTCACCTGAAATGGTATGTAAATTTGTTACTTTTTAAATCCAATATTAAGTTGTTTTTATATCCATTCTCTATATATTCATATAACAATTATCTTTCTTTTTTTTTTTTAAATGGTATATCTAATTGAATTAAATGTTTAAAGGCATGGACTTGATTTGTATGGAGGTGCAGTGAGAGACAACAAAAAGGCTGGTGTCCTTGAACCAACTATTTCAAAAATCAAGTCCTTGAAATTCGCCACTGAGGCTGCCATCACGATTCTTCGAATAGATGACCTCATCCGTCTGGAAGCTGAGAAAAAAGATCATCAAGGCCATGGGGATATGAACTAACATCCATGTCCTAAATTATGCTTTGTTAATTTAATTTACTTTATTAACGTAACTTCTTTTCACTTGATTCTGCCATTAATTAATAAACTACTTAAATTAAGTACCGAACAAGTAATCTAGTTATCATTTTCTAAAAGAAATAAATTAAGAATATTTTTTAATTTTGCACCTTAAATAAAGTGCCTCAACTAATACTGTTTTTTTATTTATTGTCCTTTCTAGTTAATTTTTTTTTTTTAATTTCAGAAATCAATTACCGTCTCTTATTTAGGTTGTACCACTATTGTTATTGCAACTGAAAGCTTGAAAAATATAATTTTAACAAATTATTTTATTTATATGGCCTAAGATAAAAAATCTGATGCATGCACACACTAAATTGTTGGGGTATTACAAAGTTTTTGCTTCCTCACTACCGAACGTAGAGAAGCATTTTGTATTTGTGCGAGAGGTTAAAAAAAAATTATGTGCTCAGAATCGAAAATTTCCCCTCGTGCTTTACATTTCAGACATTAAGGATCAAATTGGTTCAGCGTCTGTCTGTAGTTAATTCGATTTGACGGGCATATCACCTGTTAACTTTTATCCAATTTTCAGAGATTGTGCGGGTTGGTGTCTAGATGGACCCATATCAATTTTATCTAATTTCATCCAGCACTTCCGCTTGCGCACACATGAATGTATTTTCATGGATATACCAATATTTCAGAAACTGCTCATTCGATTTGGCTCAAAGTTGAAAGAAAGATGGATTTTAGTAAAATAATGATTCTATATTGGTGTTATTGAATTATGTCATCTATTTTCTCTCATATATGCGCAAAACCATTTTCCTTGATACATCTATATCTCTATAACTGCTAGTTCGGTTTGTCTCAAATTTGGAGGAAAGTTAGGGATTAGTTAATAGATAATTAAGTGAATATCAATTTTATCAAATTGTATCCATTTCATCAAAAAAAAAAAAAAAAGACTTCAGCTTTAAGATCAGTAAACGTATTATTGGACACGCCTATAGTTTGAAAACAGCTTGTTCAATTTCACCCAAACTTGAAGGAAATGAGGAGAATGGTTCAGAAATTATACTATAAACAAGATTTTCATGGTCAATAGTTGTCACACCAATTCTATGTGGATAATGTTATGATTTTTAAGAATATACTGACAAAATGTAAATATATAATAAATAAAATGCTGAGGAAGAAGGCTCTGCACTGATGGCGAGGGATCTCTCTCAGCTAAGGACCAAATAATATGAAGGGGTGGAAAGATCTTTTTGGTCCAACCCATTTCACCCTGGGTAGAAAAGGAATGGTTATAATTTTAAATAATAACTATAATAAGAACAAATTAAAATTTGGTTCTTATAAGGTCTCCAAGAAGAGTTGGAGAGTATGGCTGCTGAAGAATAAAAAACTGCTTAATTAAAACAGTAATTCGTTTCATTGCAACAGTAAGTGCTTTCCCATTGTTGAAAACCCATACAGGCAAAACAGGGTTTTAAAAAAAATAAGACATTCTAAAATTTTAAATCCATTAATTAGAAATAAATTCTATATAAAAATTAATAATAGTTTTGAAGCATAAGGTCCTTCTGATTAGGATCTAATGATACGAACAAGTCTAAGACAGGAATCAGAGATAATATTAAAGAAGTAGGTAACGCTAGTCTTGGAGAAACGGAATATAAAAACAACAAACTAATGGTTGGATGAAGAATGTCTAAACATATAAAAAAAAAACCCTCTAAATTCTTCATAAAACTGAATAATCCTAGCGAATTCAATGTTGCTCATTTCTGACCATCAAAGAATGAAACAACTATATTGCATAAAAAAAAAAAAAAAAAAAGAATATCTTTAAAATAAAATAAAAGAATCAAAAATAATTTATTTTAGATACATAAACAAAAATATAAATAAATTAAGTAAATTTTTAGGACTGTAACGACTAGAATGGGAGAAGAAAATAATATGCTGACCGGGCCAATAGATATATTAAATAAGTTATTGAAATACTTCGACAGTATGTTAAATATAGGAAATAATGATATGTCTTCTCCTGCGTACCAGAGTAATCAACCGTTAATTGAAGAACCTAAAGCAAAGGCGCAATTTATGATCTGCCAATGAAAGATGTGCATAATTTTGTTTAACGAGTTTCAACTTGGCCCAGATGTCCAAAAATATTACTATGTATAGAACATGGCAAATAAGTTTTTAAAATTGTGATGAGGTGCCGAAAACAAAGTTGGAATATGCTGACACCAAACACATCAGGTACATGCCTGGAACCTGCAAGGACCGAAGACCCTGGGAAAGTCCTTTACTCAGAGTAACTGGTTCCCTTTAGGGTGTGGCCAGTGAAAATAATTGTACACCCGCAGTTCTGAACCAATTAAACCATCCTTGCCCCACCCTGAATATTTGTATAAAATCTCCCAAGAAGTAAGTATATGCATTTTTCCGGCCTTGGGGACTGAAGATGTAGCTTGGGAAACCGACCAGGGAGATGGGCGTTCTGGCAGATTTTGGACCTGGGCTTTGACTAGACAAGAGGAGATTCAATCAGCAGATGCAGTGCAGAAACCTACTGACTACTAACCACTTCATAAACCGCAGCTAAGTTTTATTCCCAATAATATATTTACCAATGTTAAAATATTTCATGGCAATACAACTCTCAAAAAAGTCCATCTGAAATCATACTTTCACAGTTAATTATTAAATTCTTTGAATCATATATTTAGTTTATAGTATATAGTATTTGCACATTAAGATTTCTATGTTATTTATATATTATTCTATATTAAACAACAAAATAAATTAAGTTAAGTTAGAAAGTAAAAGTTATTTTAATTCTGCCACCTATTGATATTATGATCACAGGTATCACTGGTAATTAGAAAGCATGATAAACACAAACCAGCCTTTGAGAAAAGAAATTCAATAAATTAATCCTGAACCAAATATATTATAGATCAAAATTTCTTTTACTAATTTTTATTAAATATTTCTGGGTAATTATTCAGTGGCATCCCAAGTAATTTTTACCCCAAAACATAGCAACAACAATCAAGTTTGGGGCGAGAGCAGTATTGATGAGTGCACTGTTCAACGGTGGTTCAAAAAATTTTGGAAAACTTCAGCCTCGAAGACAAAGAACTTCCTCTCTAAATGACGATGTTCTGCGGGCTTTGGTAGAAGAAAACTCCAGGAACTGAACTTGCAAGGAAACTTAACCTTAGTAAAGTTTCAGGCAGATATTGATAATTTGATAAAAAGGGGTCTCTACCACGGACTATAAGCAGCAGATAAACTTAAGCTTTAATTTGTTGATAAAAATGGTTGACAAATTCTTTTAAAAATAAATATAACGATTATCATTAAAAATAAAAGTAATATTTTTAAAGAATTAACTTCTAACTCAGATACTTTAGATTTAAGTTTTTTCTCAACGTATGTATTGCAATCTGAGAATACAAAGGACTTATGTGAAAAGAATTTTGCAATTCCAAGAATATTAAATTGCTTGGATCACTCTAATACCCAAAAGAGCCTCCTACCAAATAACAAGCCAAACCAATTGACACAATAGATCATCTATCAGCAAACTGCATTAAGGAAAATCACACATCCTCTAGGTTTCTATACAGAATTAAGCCTGTATTTAATATTCTATTTTACGAAAACAAGTTTAAACTCTTGTATTCTTGTAGGATAATTATATATATATATTATCATATTAGACTTGTGATTTGTGTAATAAATTCACAATATTCAAAATATTTATCATTCATTACATGTATGATAAAATGATTACTGGTATTCATTTATTTTGAATAGCGAATAATATGCTATTTATTAATCAGTGTAATACCTAAGTGTTATAAAAAAATTAATATATGTAATTTATTTATTTGTTAAAGTTGGATAACTTATAAACCATTTTAAATACCAATACATGTTTCTCCACAAATATTAGTTCCTGTTAAAAACAATCCATGTAATAAAACTTAATATAATACACAGGTATTATTTTCAAAATAAATAGTAATGACTAATCTTATTTACAAATAAAAATTTAATTTTTTTTATTTATTCATTATTAAAAATAACATTTTTCACATCATATATGCATTTATAGAAAAGTCTAGCTTGTCTATAACAAGTGAGGAAAAAAATTAATGTACAGTTTATGATAAAACAAGTAAATGAAAATATAAATAAAATGAAATGAAATAAATAAAAATTAAAAAGCAAAATCTAGACCAGATAGGCATATCTTAGAGGTTTCCCATTTTAAAATCCCTGTCCCATCCAAGATATATTGACTTTTTTCCTTTCAATTTAATAAACTAAATGGATTTTGCTTCAGTGGATCACAGATGATCTAAAAAAACTAATCTTAATATTCGGTGTAAAGATATTATTCCGAAAGTTAAGAAAACTTGGCAGCTTACATAAAATACTGGTTGTAGGATTAAGGAATGTTTTATAAAATAAACAACAGTAAAAGAAGCTCTTTAAGAATCAGTGGACTAAAAAAGAAAAATAAGAAAGCAAAAACTAAACTTGATTAGCGTTGTTTATGTTGAAGGATATTCAAGAAGTATTAGAAGCTATTAAAGAGAAAATTAGTCTATTGAAGAATTCAAATTAGATTGATTATATGGTAATGAATATGATAAGGATTGAAATTATGTGAACCTTAGTGGGGAAGACTATACAAACTTTCATAGTAAAATACTATGTGATTATTTTTGCAAACAAGTATTATGATTTTCGAAAGAGTAGCATTACATTTTTTTCAGAAAAAAAAAAAGGTCTGGTGATAAACAGTAGTTGTTCTAGATTATAATTAAGTAAAGATGAATGATACAGTAAGATGAAATAAATTCAGATAATACAATATAGAAGCAAATACTATTAAACATTGTAATGCAAAATAAACATTACAAGGAACAGTAAATAAAAAATTTCAAACAGCATACTGGTCTCCGAGCATATAATGTCATTACTATTCTATGATGTATTACCTTGTTTAATGATGGTTTGTTTAACAAACACATAAGAGTTTCAACTTCATCCTTAACAGACCTGAACAACAGAGAGAAAAAATTGACATGAGGCAAGATGTTAATTATTATTGAATTTTAGTTTTTAATACACAGCATTGAGGTTCAGAATCAATAATAATTACTTTTCTGATCTTAAAGAATGAGCAATCCAGGGCTACGAAACCGTGGTAACTATTTCTTGGACTCTTTAGTATAAAAAAAAAACCATGATTGCATTAACATCTTGAGCCAACTCAAGATAACTGGGCAGCCTTAACCACAAAAAACGAACATTTACCCATTTTTTTTATGGACCAAAAAAGCAAAAAAGGAAAAAATAGTGTCGAAAACCAAATTATAACAAGTTTCATAAAACTTCCATAGAAGATAAGGATTAAAATATCTTCAAAACTAAAAATCGGACCTGCATACTGAAAGCAAGAGAAATGTTCAGCATTTCTCTTTATAATGAGTTAGTAAATTAATAATTTATATTTCATATTATTAATCTTTTCTTGTTGATGTTTTCACTTCTATCATGAAGTTTAATGCACACAGCTTATTATTTTTTTTTTTCAAGACAAGGTCAATCATACATATTTTCATAAAAATTAACTACTATCACACCATAAAATAAGGATAGCAAATACATTTGGGTATAATAATTTAAGCCTCCTCTGAACTCATTGCATTAGAAATTTTATGTATATATATATAAATACAATTATTTGTATTAACAACAATATTTAATGCTTTATAATAACATAACTAAACAACCTTCTCCAACTTTATTTCAAGCCTTAACCAAATATATTAAAAGGTTACTAGATAACAAATCAGAACACCTTTCATTTATGGAAAGGGTAAATATCAAATGATTTATTTTAATTTAAATCAAATTAGGTATTACACCATCTATTAAGTCCAGAAACAGTAGCTAGCTACCTTTCCTATATTTTTAAGCTGTTGCCTTCAGAGGCTATAGGTTTAATTAATTTATTTTTTTATAAGCAGCAACTTAACAGTAACTAAATTTAAATTTTTTATTCAATTTGAATCTTCTAAATATTGTTCTATGAATATTAAATGCAACCATTCATACTAAAAGCAATAAATTAAATTTTAAAATAACTATAATGGTTCGTAGAAATTACATTAAACAAGGAACAACATTGCTATCCATTTCACAATTTAATTTTATAATTACCTTAATTGTTCGTCTAGAATAACAAATTAATACACGTACACCCACAATCACACATACACTTATTAATACTTGTTACACACTTATTAAATTAAATTTTTTAGAACTGATAAAATTACAATGAGTTTATTTTCAAACAAATAAAAGTACCATTTAGTTAAAAATTAAAATTACAATTGTTCATTTATAAATCTATAGGTCAAATTGTAATATCTTTCTCTATTTAGTCCTAGTATTCTGGTTATCATTATTATTTTTAAAAAGTCTAATACTGGAATTAAACGATTTAGGGTAAATGCACCAGTAGTTGACATGCTTAAGAAAATTTCTTTGAACTTTTACGTGTAAAAACTTAAATATTGATGTTATTATATTTTTCATGGATTCATCTTATAGAACTATTTCTCACCTTACCAATACATATTTCAAATCCATGAAACATTTATCTGAATTTTAAAAAATTAAAAATTAATAGAATAGCTATGTTGTACCAGTAGCTGACACTGTTTGATTTGAAATGTTCCTACAGTAGACAGAGATGAGAAAAAGGATGTAATTAAGGGAAATTTCATATTCTTCACTTAAGATTAACAGAAATTACCTTTAACTTATAAAATTTATAACTTCTTGCGTTTCCCGACTTATATTTATCAATAAGTGCTGGTCGCTGCCAAGAACCTGCTTTTGGCAATAGGAAAACCTATTTTCACTGTATATTTAATCAGCATTTTTTTTTTTAAGACCCGTTATATTGAGTATATCTCTTTGAATTTATGTGAGTACAGGTTTTTTAACTACTGGCAAATTTTGATGAGTATTTTGACGAGTTTTCGAACAAAGCGACAAGAGGAAAAACATGGAACGCACAGCAGCAAGTGTAATTGTATCTGATCAACGATTTTTCTACTTTTATCTTAGCTCCCTTGGATTTTAAGAAAAGCTGAGCAATAAAATATTTTGGGAGGAGGGGGTGTAGGTTCTTGCGCCATCAACCTTGGGGGGAAGAGAGAAAAAGGCAAACCGAAGTTATGGTGCTCTTACTGAAGGATGGTTGTTCCTGGGACACTAAGTCGACGGTGAGGGATCTTCCTAATTTTCCACTAATTATTTAGATTGCGATTTTCGGCAAGAATAAAGAAAAGCTGACAAAAATATAAGGAGAAAATATAGAAACTAAAAATATATGAAATAGAGGTCTAAGAGGTCCTGAAGTTTTATTATTTCCATTTTTCGAGGGGAGTGTCAGGTATAAGTACACTGTCTGCTACTGTTGCTTTTACCCTAAGAAATAGAAACATTTTCTTAAAATAAAAATCATTTCAAGTATAGTTATGAGGGAAAATCTTTCATAGAAAACTCTCTTTAATAATCACTAAATGCTTAAATTAACCTTAATGATTACTTAAAAATAATACAACCAGAATTTAATTAAAAATATGATGGCAATATATGACCAAACTATTTAAAATTATGAGAATGAATTAAGAAGAACAATAAAACTGAAAGTGAATTCAAAGATTAAATAATGATTCTAAGTGCAGGCTTGAGGTTGGCTTCACACTTTAATGGCAGCTACATTTAATATAGCTATTTCTACAGGTTGTATGCCTTTATAGGAACGTCAAAAAAACATTTTTAATTTTATTGTTGTAGCTGAAAATTATTTCATTTAAACTATACATATTATTATTCCATTGCAAATGGATGTATCTTAATGAAAAGATTAATTCAAGTTAGTCTGATTGTAATTTTGGTAACCAGGTTCATTATAATAAAGGTAAGAATAAAAATGGAAGTAACAAGAAGTAGTTGTTCTAATAAAAAAAAAATAACTTCTCTACTGCTTATATTTTTATATAAATGAAATAGAATTGATAACAAACTAAAAAATATATAATGATGAGTAATTATATTTACTTATAATTATAATTAAATTATATCTAATAATTATAAATAAATATGATTAGACATTAGTAGATAATTATATTTTTTTTTTTAACACATTATAGGTTTTGCAAGATTTCTGAAATTATCCAATAATTATTTTATCAATTGTTTCATACATATAAGATTCAAATTTCAGAAAATTAAATTAAGAAACATACATTTTTTCAATTCAATAGATACTTAAGAGTTGCTAAGATTCTAGAAATTATTTTGAGAGATAATGTAACAAAGGTAACAACCGATGAGAACTAGAAAACAAGGAGTAACTAGAGCAGCCAGTTTATTTGTAACCTCATAATTATATCAAGAACAATTTATTATTAAAATTAATCCTTTAGAAGAAACAACTAATAGTTGTTAAATAAGTAAAAATGTTATAAAAACTATGGCAATGACACTCATGCAAATTAAAAAGGCATCCTTAAATACACTTAATGGATTATAAGTGATGTCTAACAAGGCATTTTCACCCTATAGTGATTAGTTAACTTACTAAACCTGCCAAAACTATATGCAGTGATATTTAAATAAATTATAACCCTCCAAACTTTAGAGAATGACTGGCCTATAATAAATAAGTAAAACTTCATTTCACAAGTATATTACAAAAGAAAAAATGTAACAAATTAAAAAAACAATCTTTAACAGAAATGTTACAATATATTATGTAAACCTAGAATAATTAATACAACATAAATAATTCTGTACAAAAAAATATATGCATAATTATTCAATTGTTCAAAACTGTTTAATCCAACAACCGAATAAAATAATTAAATATAGACATTAAATTAAATATAAACAAAATTTAAATAACTTTTTTATAATAAATTTACGCTAATCCATTTATAATTACCATAATTGTGGATAAACGGTTGACTGTCGTGAATAATGAAGAGAAGAATAGTTGGGGTGATCAGTCAAACAAGAAGGCAAAAATAAATGACAATATTTATTTTGACATTTGCAGACGTTTCGACCTGAAGTTCAGGCCGTCATCAGGGCTGACTGCAAAGAAGTAAATCAAAGCATTGCTTGGCCTGAACTTCAGGTCAAAACGTCGGCAAATGTCAAAATAAATATTATCATTTATTTTTGCCTTCTTATTTGACGGATCACCCCAACTATTCTTCTCTTCATTATAATTACCATAAATTGCAATCACCATGATTTTTTTGTTTCAAGAGTTGTTAATAAAAACATTTTGCCAGAAACTGTATTTTTTAGCTATCCACTAAACGGCTGTTTGTAACAAGTCTAATAGAGATGATATATTTCTAAAAATACACAAGCAAATTTACACATTTTTTTTTAAATATTACAAATTAATATATATTTCGTGGCTGCTATGAAAAAAAAAGTCAAGTAGTGTTAAAATAGATGGATAATTACTTAAAATTGAATAGCTTAATGGTTAATTTTTTTTTTTATCAAGGCACCTAAAAACATTAATTACAAAAAAAAAGAGAGAAAATTACTTCATATAGCGTTTGCTTGGTGATGGACTTGAAAAATCACCATATGATACTTGAGGTGTATTTAAAGTTGAAGAAATTTCATCAATAAAGGAAGATGGGCTACCTGAAATTGATTCATCCTCATCAAAACCATCAGCAAAGTCAATGAGGCTTGGAGAACTGTATGAAACCAATTCATTGCCAACAGGAGAGGGATTTAAATTATCAACATCTTTCCCTGCTTCAGGCATATTTAATGTAATTGGGTCATCACCATTAAATAATCCCATGATTGCACTTGCATCCAAACTTAAACCTTCTCCATGTAAAATTTCTTTTAATGCTTCTATATCTGACTGCATTAAGTCAATATGGTTTTCAACATCTTGTTTCGTCAATGTTGCATTATTTTCACTCAAAACAAGAGAATTGGTTGTATTTTTTTCTTGTCCTGGCTCCTCAGTAAAAGTGGATGTAATATCTGTACCAGACGGTGATAATATGATTGGGTCAGATGATAACAAACTATTGGATTCAAGTGGATAATCAATATCGTCACTAAACAAATTAACAGAAGCTACATCAGACTCTAATTTCACATCAGAATCTAATTTTAAATGGTCTGCTGGGTCTTCTTTCAATAATCGATCATTATTAGAATCATTATTCAGTAAATCAATATCTTCTATAGTAATTTTATTGTTACGAGAACTTTTCATTGGTTTCTTCTTAACGCCCTTAATACTAAATTTGGAGCCGGATTTTTTCAAAAGCACTTTGTCTTCACCTTTTTGAGTAATTGGTTTGATATTTATTAAATTTGGCTCAATTGAACTGGTTGTAGCAGATATTTTTGATGAACCAGCAGTAGGAGTAATTTTTTGTACTTTTGCTATGTGTTTATCACTCAACAATGCAAGTGATCTTTTATTATGTGGTTTGTTAGACTGCCCATTAGCTGGTTTAGAAATTGTTTTGTTATCTTCAGTTTTTGTTTCTTCAATGTTAGATTCTAAAACTATTGTTGGAACATCTTCTAATGAAAGAGGTATAGCAGAAGAAGTAGGCACTTCTAGAAGGATTTGATCAGTGTTATCTAATTGATTTGTCAGTAAAGTACCTTCTTCAGTTGGGGATTGGATTATTACATCAATATTTTTTTGACTGTTTGAGAGTAGTTGGGATTTAGTTTGATTAAACACATTATCTGAAACTAATTCACATATTACTGGTGATGCTGTAGTATAATGTCGATCTTTTGTAGTATCCAATCCTTCAATTGAAAGACAGGTACCATCTTTTAACATCAGTGGCATATTTCGACGTTTTACATTCACTCCTCTGGTTTGGTGAACTAATGAAAGTAGAAAATGAATTAATCTATTCACTATTTTTTGTTGCTTTTGATGTTTTTGTCGAAGAATTGAGTGTTCCCGCCATAAAGCATCATTTTCGGCCTTCATAGAACTTATTCGAGAATCAAAAGAAGATTGTTTTTGGTGCAACTGTTGTACTTCCAGCAAAAGCTTAGTAAGAAGGCCTTGATCACTTTTGAATTCCGATATATCTCTTGCACTAGAAACCTTCCTTTTGATTTGATCAAGTAGAAAAGGGCAGTCTTTGATAAAATGAGGATGGCTAAATTCGAAATCAGAAACATCACCCTTTAATGAGGAAGAAGTGACAGAAGAATTCACTTTACGAAATCCATATTTATTAAGCTGACGAATAAAACTAGCCATGTTGTTATGCTTGTAGAACATGGGTAGTAGTTCAGAGCAAAATCTTGTTTGATCTTTAATCACAAAAGAATTACCTTTATCACACCAAGAAATTAGATCATCATATTTAGGATCACACACCATTTGCCATAACTTGGCTACAAAAGCAGTAACTGTCGTAGATTCGGGTCCCGAAAACATTTTATTTAATAATATCTATTCAATTACAATTACACATATTGTACAACTCATTAATTTACTAAATGTGCTCTTTATACGTAATGTACAAACTTCATAGACATTTTCTATTTCTTTTTTTCTTATTTCAAATTCAACTCAATTGATATCAGTTCTTGAATGTTGATGGTACACTAATCATATATCAAAAAACAACAGAAAGCAAAGAGGTCGGAATCGATAACGATCAACGAAAGTTCACAGATATCGAAAACTATAAGGACAATAAAATGTGAATTAAATTACAAATATATTAACTATTATTCAATACTTAGCAATGAATAGATGATATATTTTTAATTTAGTTTTCTTGGAGAAACTAGGATATTTTCGATATATTGTTGCTTATTTCAGTAAACTAAATTCATTGTGATTAAATACACTTTGAGAGGAATAGATAATTTTAACCTTAACAATATTGATGTGCATCGTAAATTACTAAATACACATTAATGGAAGAACGGATGTAGATCCTTTCCCTAAAGGCAATGGGGCATACTCTCTCCTCCCTCTAAATTTCACAGCTCTCTCATCTTAAACGAAGATAGACTTAATAAAATTGTAGACTATATACAATTACACTTGTTATAGTCTGTTTCATATTTCTCCTTGTTTTCTAGTTTGAAAACTCTTCCAAATTAGAAACTCCACAAAAATATAATTACCTCATAAATTCATGATTCCTCAAAAATTCAAAACTGCTGCAATTGCATCCTGCAATCCCTTCCAGATAATCCTGATTGGAAGTTTGGGTAACAGAAAGTTCCTCCCCCATCAAATGCCTCAGATCTTAACAGTTTACTAGCATCTTCCCTCACTGAATTCAAATACCTTGCTACTCCACTGATATCACTCTCCACCACGGGCGGATCTAAGGGGCTTTCGGGCTGAAGCCTCCCTCCCAAAATGCTAAAATATAACCATGTTTTATTGACAAAAATATTAAAAAAGTATCTCTTACAGTATTATTGTTCGTGTAATTACATTTAAAAGAGCTTTAGGAATCCCTTAAACACCATTTCATACAGGTAGTTAGCATCTTTCTTTTTTTCCAAAGAAATTATCGTTATTTTTATGAAAAAAATAATTTTCGGGCTGAAGCCCCCCCAAAAATTAAATCCTGAATCCGCTAGTGGTCTTCATTAACCTAGTATTTTATCTCATCTCTTCTTTAAAAAAATAATTAAATGTATACCATCAAACCCTTACGCATTCACCTTTGGAATGTGAATGGTGAGAGAAATCACACTGACGAACTAACAACTTTACAAAACAAGGACTTCAATGTAGCCCTGATTACTGAAACTCGACTGACCAAGAAGCAATTTTTAAAAATATCAAATTACTTAACCTATCGTACAGACCAATTCTGGCGGTAGATCACAAGCCGGTATTGCTGTTGTTATACATCAACTCCTCTTTCATTACCTACACCCATTGACTACACATGATTTCCTACAATCGACCGCAATCGTAATCAAAACCTTACCCTTGTGTCAATATATTGCCCTCCCGACCCACCGATCTCCAAATCCCAATTTAGTTCTTTCTTTGAATATTTTAAATTATTTTATTATTATTATCGTTATTCAAAATTTCAATTCCTTAGGACAGCATTTCATCCTGGGTGTGCACTTAAACGCTAAGAAACAAATGTGGGTTGAAAAATCCATGAATTATTGTGGTTGAACACTGCTATCTGCACTCAATTCCCAACGTTTTAGCCTCTTTGCTTCAAAATCACTTATCTACTGGCCCACTGATTCTAACTGTTATCCTGATATCCTTGTTATCTTCACCTATATTGGCTTACATCGCCTAAAATATTTCATTACAAGTCTTGATAACATTTCTTGGCATAGAAGAGTGATACATTACCCGTAGGAACGACTGGAGGAGACAGGGACAAGGAGTTCCCTAAGTTGTGTAAGCCCATATGTCTTCTCCCTGTGATGAGTAATATACCTCATCATGATGTATATCTGTTGTTGCTGTTCGACATACCCTCCGCCTTTGATAGCCTCTGTTGGCTAAGCGTGCTCCTGCAACTACAGAGATACGAAGCGCCCAGCAACTTATACACCCTGGTAAGGAGCTACTTCAAGATATGAGAATCAAAGTAAGAAGTAATTTCTTTGAAGCAGAAGCTACCAAAGAGAGGGGATATCCACACGAATCCGTCCTAAGGTCTACTCTATGGAATGTGGTCTTTGACAAATTGCTGTGAGTATTAGAGGAGAAGCGGTTCTTTGCTATTGGATCTTAGGATAATTTAGCCGCAGTAGTGTTCTTCAACAGCAGAACTGCCTTGAAGCAAGATGCGAAAGAGTACTCCAACCTAAAGATATGTCAAAGACTGTACAAGATACGTCCAAGTGAGGTGGTAACTTACCTTGGCGAAAGATTCAGAAGAGGTTTTAACATGACTCTCACATAAACTATCTGAGAAATAGGGTGGCCCAGGTAACTCAGCCGTGGGGGCGCTTTCTGAGGCCTCAAATACCGTCCTACTATTACTATTACATCCGGGGCTCATAATTATTTTATCAAATTATCTTTGATTTGGTTGCTGGATAATGCGTGGTGCTGTGCACACAGATTAGCCCGCTAGCCCAACCCGCTCTTGATTATTGTTAATACCTGTTATACAATGGGGTTGAAAACCACGAATTCTCGTGATAAAATTGTTGTCTGCAATTCCCAACGTTTTAGTCTACTTCCTTCCAACTCATCCATCTACTGGCCCACTTTTTTTTCAATCTTAATTCTGTATTATTCAATATCGATTCAATGTTATTATACTTATTGTTATCTGGTTCTTTTCCCAGCCCTGATGAAGGTCTGAACTTCGGGCAATGTAAATGTACGGGAAACATCGGCGCCATTTCAATTTGACTGATCACCTCAACGGTCCTTCTCTTCAAGAATAATTATAATGATATAGAACATTCCATATCAAATGAATCAGGGTTTGACTCAATGGGTCTTGGATATTGATATTTTTTGTTTATTTGATGAATGCATTCATTCTTTTTTTTTTTTTTTTTTCCTGTTGGCATTACACACGGGCGGATCTACGGGAGGGATTTCGGGCTGAAGCCCTCCCCAAAATGGTAAAATATAACCACGTTTTATCGAAAAAAATATTAAAAAAGTATCTCTTAAAGTATTATTATTCGTGTAATTACATTTAAAAGGGCTTTAGGAATAACTTAAACACCATTTCATACAGGTAGTTAGTTTCTTTCTTTTTTTCCAAAGTAATTATTATTTTTATAAAAAAAAAACCTTTCGGGCTGAAGCCCTCCCCCCCAAAATAAATCCTGGATCCGCTAGTGGCATTACAGACCATGTAGATCTTTTGTCGCCTTAACAAGCCTGCTACATCAAAGCCTATCTTGGGCTATTTGTTGATTATAATTCAACGCATTAATATAAAGAAAAACACAAACATTTAGATTTTTTGTACTTCGGTTTTGAATTATAAATTTTTAAAATAATAAAAAACCTCGAAAACGGCGAGTTTTTAAAATAGTTTTAGGACTATTTTTCAAGAACTATTTGACCTAAAAAGCTTAAATCGGTGTCATCTTTTTCGGTTATTTATGCTATTTATTTTGATATACGAAATGACTATATTCTTTTTTTTTTATTTTATTTCTTTATTGAGTATTACAACAATCTGTCTCTTGGACATTGGTTGTAGTGAGGTAGAATGACATTCACTCTATATGTACAAAAAAAAAAAAAATAAATAAATGGAAACAAAATAATAATAAAAAGTATATACAATAGATAGTAAAATAAAATAACCTAAAAAATAAGAAAATTAAAACTAAGCAAAAAAAAACAAACAAACACATGCATACCTATATACAATCAGGCGAGGGAACTCCAGAAGAACCCTGCGCTACTCTCCCAACCGCGTCACAGGTACTAAAGCCAGCGGAGATTGGTCGAGAGCACTTTAGCCACATACACTCATGTCTTGATTGAAGAATCTGGACATTGCTAAATTACTATATTCTAAAATTAAAATATTTTTTAAAGATAAACAAAACATATATTTTTGAATTTTGAAAAAAAAACCTTTTGATTTTTATTAAAGAATTATATTTTGTTATATTGTAGCATATGGTAGCTAAAGGTGGGTCAAATTTCAAAGTGTAGAAACAATGGGTTCACTAGAGAAAAATGTGGACTTACAATAGGTACACTAAAAAGAGTGTAGTTTCACATTAAATTACAACATACAGTAACTAATTATAAGGCGCAGTAGATGAAGTTGAAAACTTTAAAAATTGTAAAATTGATTAATCAAGGTAATCATAATAAGGTAAGTGCCAACATTAGAGTAAGTATACAGGAAGTGTATACAGAAAAATATTTAATGCACTTTAAGGCTATTTAAATAAAATACAATGAATATCGGCCTATATACATATTTACAATTTAATTTGTAAATATTATATTCAAGTTTTTGTATTCCTTTGAATAAACTTACACTTTTAATTCGCCGTTCTTCGAGGTTTTTTATTATTTTAAAAATTTATAATTCAAAACCGAAGTGCAAAAAATCTAATTTTTTTTTTTATATTAATGCATTCAACAAATAACCAAAAGATTATTAAAATCCGAGACCCAATGGGCATACCCTGGTTGATTTGGGATAGAATGACCCTATAATATTATAATTTAGCAATAAGGCGCGATGTATAATATAGATTTTTAAAGAAATTAAAAATTTGTCCGAACTTTGGGTTCGGTTAGTTTATTTCAGGTGACTAATAAATAATACAATCTTAACTAGAAAATTCATATAAATTACAGTTATATAATTTGAGCAACGAGTAGTACAATTAAACGAACAGTTGAATAATTTGTAAAATGGGGTTGGTCCACCGTCAGGCAAATAGGGGGTATCCCCCCTAGTTATATTTAATAAAATTTCACTTAAAACAAAACATGATGTAAACCATGAAGCAGCTGTTGTTTATAATAGATGATAAAATTTCAATGTTGAACTTGTTCCTGTAACATTTCGGATAGTTCGTATTATAATTTCTAGATGGTCATAATATTTCTTTGACATCATAGTATTCGATATCAATCAATTAAATATTTCGTGATATTGATTAGATTGATATTGATTTCATAAAATTGATAATGAGATATGAAATGAAATGAAAATAGCCTTTATTTATACACTAATATTAGAATTTCAAAAGCAAATAAAACAATTTCTTTTTTTTTTTTTACATTATAATTTATACAAAACTTTCTACTGTCTTGCATGGGCCTTCCCTTAGGAGTAATAGTCTTTAACACTTCCCTGGGTGACTAGCCCTACTGGGAAGCGGGATTTCTGACCTTTAACCATTTTTCTTTCCACACATCTCTGTCCCTAGCTGCTCTCCACCAGAGAGGTCCTGCCAAAATCCTAAATGGATCTCTCCATCTCTTCATTTGTCGGTCTCTCATCCTTTTCCGGTCATATGGAGTCCATTCGGTGACTATTTTTGACCATCTATTGTCGTTGCATCGCAGGAGATGTCCAGCCCATTTCCATTTGCCTTTCCTTATTTGCGAGAGTGTGTCTTTGAGCCCTGTTTCTTCTTCTATCTTCTTGCATCTGATTTTGTCTATCTTTTTTACTTTCATAATGCTTCTTTCGATGCTATTTTGACACACCATGATCTTCCTCTCTTGGGCTTTTGTCAATGACCATGTTTGGGAGCCATAGGTCACCACTGGCATAATACATCTATCGAAAACTAGCCTTCTTAGGTCGATACTTATGTTTCCTTTTGTTATGTACTTCAGAGACCAGAACTTGTTCCAACCAAATGCTGTTCTTCTCTGGACTTCTTTTGCAACTCTGCCTGAAAAGGAAACTAACTGGCCCAAGTAAACATATTCCTCTACGTATTCCAGGATGAAGTTGTTCATTTTTATTTCTTCCTTTGAACTATTGGTCATTAGTTTCGTCTTATTGTGGTTTGGCTATAAACCAATTTCTTCACAAGACCCTAGAAGGTGTTTTAGCATTTCTCGTAGTTGTCGGGAATTGCTGGCAAAAAGTACAATGTCATCTGCAAAACGTAAGTTGCTTAAAAATCGACCATTCACCTTTATGCCTGCATTTTCCCATCCAAGAGACCAAAAAACTAATCTCCAACACCAGAATAAACAACAAGGGAGATAACGTAACTTTTCTGTCATTACATATACTGTCATACTTTTATATAACTCTGCAATAATTCTCACGTATTTCTCTTCGATTCCTATTATTCTTAAAGCTTTAAGAACACCCGTATGTAGAACACTATCGAAAGCTTTTTTAAAATCGAGAAAACAGAAATACAGAGAGAAGTTATATTCTTAAGCTTTCTCTTTCATCTGGTTTACTGTATGAATGTGGTCCACAGTTGAAAAACCTTTTTTAAAACCTGCTTGTTCTTCTTCTATACATTCCATGATTCTTTTGGTGAGCCGTTGTTTAATGACACTGGTAAAAAGCTTTGCCATGGTAGAACAAAGGAAAATCGGTCGATAGTTTTCCATATCCTGTTTATTGCCTCCTTTGTGTAACAGAATTATTTTTACTGTTTTCCACTGTTCTGGAATTTCTTCCTTTTCAACAATTAAGTTAAATAGTTCAGTTTCAGTTTAGTTAAAATTGATAATGAGAAATAGTAGACCTTAAAACCTACAAAAGTGACAAACCATTCTCTGATATCACACAAAAACTATGAAATTCAAGTTTTTTACTTTTTTTTAAGTCAGGCACGTTTTTTTATCGAATAGAAGAGATAAAAAAAAAATTAATTTAATGATTAACAATTGTTTCAAAGTAAACTAGAAGAAATTTCTTTCTATCGTACTTAGACAACGTGTACATTGCCTTTATTAATCTAGAAGAAATTTTCAACAAATAAAATTAAGGTAAGTTCTGTTTTTTTACAATCATGGATTTTTTGCGATTTTTTTCTTTCTACTGGATTACAGATCCTTCATCAGGCTAAGTAAAATATAAAAATTAACAACAATAATATGACAAAAAGCAAAATTTACAAAACAATGTTTAAAATGAATGAAAGCTTAACAATTAAATTAGTATCAAGGGATTGATGGCATACATTCAGAAATACTCAAAAATGGAGGGGATGATTTAAAAAGATGTATATTACAGTTTGGTTCGAAGAGAGAACGCCTGAAGAGTGGGAAACAGCAGCGATATGCCTCATTCATAAAAAAGGCGACAAACTAACTTGTGGTAATTATCAAGGGATAGCACTACTGAATACAGCCTACAAGGTATCCGCTGTATTATTGAACCGACGGCTGATTAAAGTTTTCCCAACAGATAGTGGGCGACTGTCAATGTAGTTTCAGGCTTGGAAGATCAACCATCGATCAAATATTCTCATTAAGACAAATTCTTGAAAGGGAATATGAATTTCACGGTGACCTCCATAATTTATTTATCGATTTTAAGCAGGCATACGATATTATTGATAGAGAAGCATTGCTGAAGATAATGCTTGAATTGGGAATTCACATGAAGCTCACTTGGAAGATCAAGCATCGATCAAATATTCTCATTAAGACAAATTCTTGAAGATAAAAATACATAGATTCCATTGGATCATTAAATACATAGATTCCATTGGATCATTAAATACATAGATTCCATTGGATCATTAAATACATAGATTCCATTGGATCATTAAATACATAGATTCCATGATAGATACATTGCACGGAGCTCGTAACTGCTTTTTTTTATATTATTGTTGTTTGTTTATTTATTAAATGCATTAATCTAAAGAAAAATACAAAATTTTAGATTTTTGGGACTTCGGTTTTGAATTATAAATTTTTAAAATAATAAAAAGCAGCGAGTTTTAAAAATTGTTTTGGGGTTATTTTTCAAGAACTATTTGACCTAAAAAGCCATATAACCAAATTTTTGAACTTTATTTTTGAAATTTGAAAAAAAAAACCTTTTGCTTTTTATTAAAAAAACATGTTATTCTAGCATATGGCGGTTAAAGGTAATAATATTGCAATACAATTATGATGAGATATTCTTCTTTATTTATAATTGTCATTATAAAAATTGTTTATTTGTGCCGACGTTTCAATCCAAACATGTGGGTCTTCATCAGGGCTGAAAATTTTAAAATACAATCAGAGATTTTTTATGTCCTCTTCCTTATAGCTTTCATAGCAATATCTCGCACTGATTGGGTGGGATTTTGACCAACATTGTCCTTAACATTGCTAGTATCAATTTCATGCGGGCGACCAGACAGTTGAGGATCATAATGTCAAAATTTCTTAAATGAAATTTGGCAAACCAATTTCGACAGGTGCGTTTGGTTAAGGCACCGCCCCATAAACACTGCAAAATTTTCTATGTGCTTCTGTAGCACGCTTGCCTTTTTTAAAATAATACAACAAAATATGCCGATAATAAATGATATTTTCTTCCGTATTCACAGTGCAATAGCAAACATAATACTAAGCTAGTTTCCACAAGAATTAACAGATATAGTTTTTGACATATTACAAACAGGATAAACAATCCACCTTAGGGATTAGTTCATTACATAAGAAGTGTGACATCAAAATAAACAGAAAAACCGAAATGACTTAGTTGCCAACCCAATATATATTTATATAATATAATATATGCATATATATATATATATATATATATATATATATATATATATATATATATATATTATATATATAGTCCTGATAAGGGGGCCTAAAAGTATTATTGTTCATGAAATTACAATTAATAGAACTTAAAGAATCACATAAACACCATTTCATATAGGTAGTTAGTTGGTTCTTTCTTTTTATTTCAAAGTAATAATCGTTATATATATATAAGCATGATCATTCAAGTGTCTGTGCAACATAATGACGTCCCCGTCTGTTGATGATAATAGAGAAAGGGGTTACATTACTTGTTTTAATAACTGGATAAATATTGAGCTAATAAATAACAATGAAAAACAAAATTAAACTAAAATACAATTTCTCCACAAAAATTCTTATTTTTTTTCTTTGCTAATGGATAAAGTTTTGGAGATGGGCTTGAGAGAAATTTAGGAATATATAAAAAATAGAGTTTTTGTCGTTGAATGGCTCGATGGAGATAGATTAGTTGATGTTGATAACGCTGTCATTGGCAATACCATCAGATGGACACCCTTACGATGTAGGAGAGCTTTAACAACAGCAAATTGACGATACAAGTCCCTCCAAATTAACTTAAAGAGTTCTAAAATTGTATATGGATTGAGTTAGCGCTTGAGAAGTGCTTTTAGGGTCTTAACTTTGCACCCCTATTTTCATTTCATTTTTTTCGCATTTTAAGATAGATTAATTGCTGTTGATAATGTTGCTATTGGCAATACCAGCAGGTGCATCCCTTACGATGTAATAGAAGTTTAACAATCTCAAATGGACGATAATTTCATCCACGCCTACGACCACTCTAAATTGAGTTAAGGCTTCCGAATTCCAATGTAAATTGAGTTTAGGCTTCCGAATTCTAATGTAAATTGAGTTAGTATGAGCAAGTGCCTTACGGTGTCTCATTATTTTTCTGTCGCCCCAAACATTTACGTTTCACTGTTTTAATGATTTTGCCTACTTCTATACCCTGTTCAAATAGAATTAGAGGGTTGAAAATTTTTGTAAATTGCTTTAGTGTTAAATTTATTGTAAAAGTGAATTTTGAGAATCTCGTCGCTACCCACATAATTTTTGTAAAGTGGAGATTTACAACTTTATCAAAATGATTTATAGTTCCTCAAAAATCAACTAGCCGTAAGTGCCTCTTCATATAATCAATTTTACACATTTTTATAATTGAAGAAATATAAAAATTTTTTTCAGGTCAATAATGAATTTCCGAAAATGATAATAACAATATACAGTGGCCAGAAAGTTTTCATACATGGATTGGTTAAAAAATTAAAAAAATCAATAAAACCCTAAAGAACTACTACATATGTTGTTTATTTAAACGTTTAATAATTTCAATATTACTTTTCTTATTTTTATCAAAAAGACTTACCTATGAATGAATACAAAATATATTTTAAATAACATTAAAGTCATTGTAAGAATTTTAATGTAGCAAAAGTCTTAATGTATTATATAATAATTTATTTACTATTTTAGTCAATTTTTTTAATTAATGTCTTGAATGAAGCCCTTTGTACTTTAGTACTATTATAAGTCAACTATGAAGTCGATTGGGACGACATATTTCCTCATTCCTTCAAAAATTTAATTTCAAGATATTTTACCATCTTATATTTTCATTTATGGACTGTGGATCGACACGAACCCATAAATGTTAGATATAATTAAATCTAGACTCTTAAGAAGAGTTTCACGTTCATTTGTATGTTTATAATCTATACATAATTATATATAATTAATTATATATAATCTATACATATAAAAATGAATGTATGTCTGTCTGTTTGTCCTTTATGCATTACTAAACCATTCATCCGATCGCCATGAAACTTTGGGAAGTTGTTCCGTACAGTCCTGGAAAGGTTTCTGGCATAGCACTTCTGTCTAATGATAATTTTATATATGTAAAAAAAATAAAAATGTCAATGTTAAAGACGCAAAAAAATGTGCCGCTATAAACTGTAGCGCCAAAACGCTTTAACGATTTTAACCAAACTTGGCTAAAGTCTTCCCTTGAAACCCTTTTAATTTATTTGTATAAGATACTTTCCCGAATACAAGCTGAAAAAAATGTTACGATGAATTCAATATTTCATTTACCGATAACTAAAAAAGTACACAATTTTTTACTGTTAATACCCATATTTATTTGAAAGATTAATGAATTGCTGACAAAATAAAAAAAAAATCATCGAAATAGATAGGCATTATCTCCGAAAAAAACAATTTCTGGCGGCCGTAGGAGTAAAGAGGGTTAAATTATTTTTTTAAGGAGAAACAAAGTTGAGATTTGTATTTCGCACCTCGATATACCAACAAATACCAATTTTCACGGGAATCGAAAAATAAATTTTTTTTTGTCTCAAATTTTCGTCAAGGGTTGGAACCTTGAATTTTATTTCGGAAACCACAAAAAGTGTGATAACTTAATAATGGCTCCACCTATAAACACGAAAATAATCAGGGATTTAGGACCATGTAAACTGCACAAATTGCAACAAACCATATTTGTGCATATTAGTAGTGGAGATAAAAAATGAAAACGCATTAGGAGATTTTCAGGTCTCCTATTCCTCCTTAAGGCGTTAAATCTAAAAGTTTTTGATGTGGTTTTGAAGAGCAACATCTCAGCTTTCCAACGGTTATTGAATCATTGAATTAGAAGAAAATCCTGAGGAGTTATGAATTATTTAGCGAACGGTAGGGAAAATGATTTCAATAGACAGTGAATTGGTAACCATAGCAACCAGATCAACACCTGTCTCTATCTTCTCTTCTATAAAACTTTGGGAAGTTGTTCCATAAACTCCTGCGAAGGTTTCTGGCATAGCACTTCTGCCTTACGATAATTGTATATACGTAAAAAAATAAAAATGTAAATTTATTTTTCAAAGCCGCAAAAAATGTGTTGCTATAAACTGTAGAGCCAAAACGGCTTTAAGTATGTTAACGAAACTTGACTTAAGTCTTCCCCTTGAAACCCTTTTAATTTATGTGTATAACATACTTTCCCGAAAACAAGCTGAAAAGTGTTACGATGAGTTCAATATTTTATTGGCAGATAACTAAAAAAGTACACAATAAAGATTGATAATACCCATATTTATTTGAAAGATTCCTGAATAGCACAAAAAAAATAAATCATCGAAATCGGACGATTCTTTGATTACGGCTGCGTGGTGTACGGTGGCCTCTCGGCAGAACTCGGGGAGAGACTGAAAAGAATTATGAATGCCTTCGTAAGATTTGTCACAGGGGCTCTGAGGTATTCCCGTGTTTCGCACCACTATGCTGAATTAGGATGGCTCTTCCCTTCCTTCCGAAGACAATATTTCTTAGGCACATTCCTTTACCAAATAATCAATAGTCATCGTCCGTCCTACGCATACAATCTCGTACAATTCAAATCATCTATCCACACCCTCTCCACAAGATCTCGTCCTTCTGACCTTTACACTCCTTTCCACAGATCTACATCATTTAAACATGCCTTCGTTGTCCGTTCCACCGCATTCTGGAATTCCATCCCACTAAAAATCCGCCATGCATCATCCTTAGCCACCTTTAAAACCCTCTTATTCCAATTCCTCTTCACAATCCAATCAGACGCTGGTTAAATACATACTATGTTATAAGGATTTAATTTTCTTTAGACATAATTTTTTTCTCTTATTTTTTATTGTTTTATTCTGTGTTGAACGTGAATTTTCATCACCACTCACTAAGCATTGTGAGTAGATAAAATTTGTTTTCCTTAAGTTCTAATTTGTTATTCATGGAATGTATTTCAGTGAAAAGTATTTTATTTCTAATTATCTTCAACATACTTCTCGCTATGTGTATATATATACTTTATTTTATTTTCTCTTCTCCTAATCTTTACGCATAATCACTTAAATATCTTAGGGAACATATGTATATCATTATTTGTTGTTTTATATATTTTTTTGTTTTAGTTTTTACAATTTCTTTCCCTACATATTAACAGTTATTATTATTTTTTTAAATTTTTATATTCCATCACTACAATGCTTTACCTATAAAATAGATTGTACTTTCCTTTATAATTTCGTTCAGTAATTATTATGCAATTATTTTAGCTCCAATATTGTAGTACTGAACCCCTATTACCAAACTGTCCTCGTTAATTTATCCTAAGAGCTTAATTAATACTTAATGTATTACATGTATTTTGTCATTATTCATTGTAATAAGTCTTTTGACCAGATTTGTAGTTAATATAGATGAACAATACTGTTATTCTAAAGGGACCTAGTCCCAGAATAAAGATGATTTTTCTATTTCTATTTCTATTCCTTGCAGAGTTATAGAGTTTTGAACATTTACTGCTTTCTCTTCAGAAAAGACCATTTTTTTTTTTTGTAATTGATTAATCTAAAATTTTATAATTACTACAATGATTGAAATTATCGTTTGAAGAAGTGATATGATTCTCCTTATGTAGGTCAATACTATCATACATTCTTTATATTAATATTTTTTATTTTCCTCCCAATGTATTCTAGAAGTAGTATGATACATTCCAAATATTTGATTCACTATTATTTAAAAAGATTTAATTCTTGAGTAATACTTATCACCGTTTATGTTCCTTATAGAAATCAGTTTTTTATTGATTTCCGTTTATTTTATTTTTTAATAAAGTCTTTTTTCTAACATTATGTTGAAATAAGGTTGTGCTGTATACCATAGGATTTCTTTCATGAGTATGGTTTATTTCTCCACTACAATTTCTACAACTCTATATTTAATCAAGTTGTTATTAAGAAAGAAGCAAGCAATCGAATATCTTAGGAGGAGTATGAAAAATCTTTTGAGGACTGTGAAAGGCAGCTCTAATGCACAAGAAATGAACGCTATGATAAATGGTATAGCGCAATTTCAATGCATTGCCATGGTTGATATTTAAAAATCTTTAACATTGAAACAGTATCGTAAAATATTTTGAACTGCATGTGTTGCTTTTACATCCAACTGATTGTGCGTTTTTAATAAATATGTATAGTTTCACCTTATATTTTATAATAGTAGATATATTAAACCATGCACGTATTTAAATGCAACGTTAAGCCAAAATTTCAAGGCAATGGGTGAAGAACTTTCTGAGATTTAAAAGTTTAAACAACCAAACATTTACATTTTTATTTGCCATAAAATGATCAACACAAAATTTAACATTAAACAATACATTAAATATAAAAAAAAAAAAATTAAATATGAAAATATATGAGTGGCTTGATATCAAAGGACGGACTTCTGTCATTTTCAGAAAGTGGAGATAAAGTCAATTTTATTTTTCAAGTTGTTTGTCAAGTTCAACTCTTTCAACAAACAGACTGTTTCTGATGGTTAAGAATGACGGCATATTCACTCAGATGATTATGAATTAGTTTAAATTGAAGCCATTTTACAGACAATTTGTTTCCCAACTTTTTAAAAATGACAGATGTCCTTTGGTATTTCTTTTCCATTTCACCAAGCTAAGCCACAGCAGTGTTTGGCCGGGTAAAGCTAGTATAATAATATAATTAAGCTCTCAGAGAGGAGTTATGTGGTTCAAATGGAGTGATGGAATTATGAGGTATTCATTGCCTAATGTGGACATAATAAATATGATTTGTGTTACTTTGATGACCCGCAGGGACTAGCTGATGTGCAAGGCTAGTGGAGATTAACGCTCTCCCGGTCTCCCGAGTTCAGTATACTGCACAAACACACACAAAACAGTACAGAATACATATACACTGACATAAGGTAACATACACTACACACCCTAGGGTCACCTCTCCTGGGAGGACCCTGTGGACTAGGGTATAAATTGTCCCCAGTCGTCTCGAGGTAACGGGGCCTCTATTACTGGGCCAATCACCCGTAGTGGAGTAAAACTGATTCAAAGCAAACAAAATTGCATCGGAAATGGACGGACAAATCGGTCACGATACGGCGCTCTAAAGGACATAAGAATCGGAACATGGAATATTAAAACATTGAATGGCAAGGAAACAGAGATCGTGGAGGAGATGAAGTCATATGGTGTGGATCTAATGGGCATATGTGATGTGAGGAAAAAAGGGCATGGAGAAGTACGTCTGAATGAGCAACACATACTCATATACTCTGGGGTTCCTGCAGGTTTTAGAGCAAAGGAAGGAGTGGGGATTATAATGAAAGAAGGCCTATTTGCCAAACCAGAGGACTGGGAACCCATATCTTCCAGAATAATAATAGCAAATATAGAATTTTCAATTGTTAAAGTAACTCTGATTCAGATCTACA